ATCAGATTGAGATGGGAGTGGTCGCGTTGGAAAGCTGGAGTGCTGTAGTTGTCCCCAGACATGCATCCCTCACAGGATATCGGAGGCGATATTTTTAGGAATTTTTTCAAAATGGTTGAAAATGTCAACATGTTGGGACCCAGGTCATCTTGCCACAATTCAGAGGGCTGTGATTCCCAAATGCATAATCAGATTGAGATGGGAGTGGTCGCGTTGGAAAGCTGGAATGCTGTAGTTATCCCCAGACATGCAGCCCTCACGGGATAACGGAAGCTAAATTTTTAGGGAACGTGCGTTGAAAATGTGTTCAGATCAACTTGTCAGAAATCAGGTCAACATGCCAGTTTTCAGAGGCCTTTTATTTCAAAATGCAACATCTGATCCGGACGAGGGTGGTCTGGGTGGAGAGCCGGGGTGCTGGATTCCTTCTTTTCGGATGTTCTATAAATGGGCAAAAAGATCAACATGTTAGAATGCAAGTCATGTCAGAACGCAGGCCATCTTGTCACATTTCAGAGGCCGACATCAGATCCGAATGGTCTTGTTGGATACCTGCAGTGCTCTATCTAGTGTCCTGCAGGTCTGGTTTGATTGAGGGATAACTGAAATTCATTTTCAAGAATCTTTTGAAATAAGCAGAGGAATTCAAAATGTCATATTTGAGAGGCATTTTAATTGGTAATGGAACATTCGATCTGAATGCCTGTACTGTGGTTGTGTACCTGGCATGCCCTAGTGTGTCGACAACCTGGTGTGGTTGCGCTATCACCCAGATTAGTTTCTTTAATTATTATTATTTTTTTTAATATCAGGTGAAATTGATGTAGATTTACCATTGACTTTATTTTCTCCACTTGAGAACGCTTTTTTGTGCTGTTGTGAGAGTTCTTGTTGTTCCGGGGTGAACGTATCGTTATCTGACAGCCAAGAAATTACTTATTTTATGTTTTTATTCATATATTTTAACCCGAACAAATGACGTTTATGCATGAGTGGTGGCTCTTTTATTTTGAAGGTGGCCAACGCCGCTCGCTGGCGGCACACTACCGTAATGCAGAGCATTGCCAATCGCAGTGCGGGCTCACTTGACTTCGACTTTGCGAGTGCGTGCTGGCTTGACCGCAGTCCCCTATCCCTTGAAAAAAGTTTATTGAACAAGAGAATGCAATTTCTTGATAAACTGTAATTGAAGAGCTGAAGCTCAATCGAAAATGCTGTGATAGAAATGAATCGTTGTCATGGAGAATATGAGTTTTGAATCGCTCAATAATTGTAAAATTAGGATGTTTATCTGTGAAATACTTCATATCTTAATTTGGCTTTTGTCTGTCCCGACGGCCACGCATCGTGACAGGCATGATAATGAAATCATCCTCCACTAGATAGTGCCGTGGTCTTTAATTACAGCAACTCTATCACCTTTGCATTCAACTGAACAGGCCCAAATTTCACATTGAGTCAGTAAATTGAGATGACATCATCAATCTGACCCACTCAAAAGGTTCATAGCTATAGATGTCTTCAGGTGATGCCAAAGCACTACTTTTATATTAGCTAGGGCCTTGTCGTGTCCAATAGAAGCTCCACTCCTGACCGCAACATAGTTCCTGAGCATCAACATGCCTGATAAAATGGTGCCAAAGCACTTGTTTTCTGCATCTCATTGTTTTATCTCTGTCAGGCCACTTTGTCATTCAAGCCTATCGAGGGGCAGCATCTGTGTGCTCCGTGGCCTTGCTGCGGGTCCCGTGGGTGAGGTGAGTCATTAAACACATCACTTATAATTCCGGGTGACACGACGTGACAGCTGAGGCGGAGATTCTTAAGTGCTCAGCATCAGTCAGGGGACTGGAACGACTTCAAGGAGTGAGGAGAGTCGCCCACCTCATTATCATTGCGGAACATCCCATTAATTCGTCTTCCCACTTTGCTATGCCGTCTCCTAAATGTAATTTAAAAGGAGCAATAAATGCAAAACAATCACCCGTGTCACAAAATCTTGATCTGTGATCTGTTCAAGCCAGGGTTACATTATTGATTTTGACCCATGTTGATAGCGCTGGCTGCACTATTCCATATCACTGAGTTTGGTGTTCTGCTAAATTATTAATTCATTCCAAAAAAAAAGTGACATGCTGTGTCAAGGTGAAGAGAGACCAAATCGTATCAAAGAATGACTGAAAAAGCTCCTCAAATATTAACTGGCTCTCTCCTTCATCAAATATGAATACTGCTGTTCTTCCTCCTTGCTGGGCAGCAGATAAGAACCCGCTGTTACAAAATGAAAAATGTCAGATCTGGAAATCTTTTATTTCAGAGCTTCTGAAATTGATGGCAATCACTTTTATTTTATAAAGAATTCAAATGCAAAAGCAGACATCATTTTTGTGGGGGTTGAATAAAATTATCTCTATCATTTCTGGTTGCAGGTTAAAGCTAATGTGGGATTTGGAAAATAATGAAGAGTAAAAAAGCAAATAAAATAAATACACAGTGTCCCTTTAAAAAAGACCGATAACCCCACGAAAATAATGGATTCAAACTGTCCATCCTGCTACTGCAACTCTAAAGTCACACTGAATTGGTTAGTATTATGCTTTGTGAGTTAAAAAAACCCCAACAAGTAAAGAAATTACAGGTGAGTGCGCTCTGCTCTTTAGCTACTGTGTTCCATATTTTTCCGGAATAAGATGACGCGGCTGTGTCGAGTTGATTCAGTGATGGTTCGCGGGGCTTCGAGCAGCAGGTGGCGCCAGTGCGCCGCCTTGAGTTCCAGTTTGGCACGGAGAGCGTCCACGTTGTTCCCACTATCTCCACCCGGTCCACCCCCCTCCCGCCCCGCCTCCCTCTCACACTCCCTCGCTTAGCACACAGTACACACCTATCCATCTTCCTTCAGTCTCCTGCTCCGTCTCCGGCCCCGAAGCATGGCCAAAGCAGCGCTCCCCGCCTCCGCGCGCCTCTGCGTCTTGCTCTTAACCGTCTCGGCGGTGACCGCGCTGCCGGGAGCCGCGCGCCGTGACCGCGACCGCGGGCGCGTCGGGGACCACAGCGGGCCGGACGTGGGACGCGGAGGACGCGCGGAAGGCTCCCCGGCGGATGAAGGCGAGGACGCGGCCGGCGGCGCCGAGGGCTCGGAGGGCTCCCCCCGCCTCAGGAGAGCCCTGTCCCGGGAAAAACAAATGTCGCTGCAAAGCAGCTCGTTCGTGCTCAAGGGGGATGCGACGCACAACCAGGCGATGGTCCACTGGACCGGGGAGAACAGCAGCGTGAGTAGCCCAAGCGTCCACACCCTCTTTGTGTCACCTCAGGTCCCATCAGCCACATGATGGGAGACAACTTATTGTTCACAGCGCGACATGTGACGCACTCTGCGTGTCTTCTTTACGCACGCAGGTGCGCCACCTGGATGCATTGAGCACCTATTTGCTCTTTTGCTATTGTTTGCCATGCTTTGTGGAACTGACTCCCAGCGCTATCTAGGAAACAGCGGGCGATGTAACCAAAGTATTTATGTTGATTTCTATGATTATTTCTGCTGGTTTGCTTAAGAAGAAGCTGTATTCATTTGGGTGCGTACGGGTCAGAAAGTGTGAAAAGTGTGCTGATTCTATTTTGTTTCTGTGGAGGTCAGCGGTGGTCAAACTTTCCAAAAGAATTTAAGGACGCCAGACCTACTTTCATTTATTTTCTGAATCAAGTTATTTATATCGCGTATCTCAAGTTATCTCAAGGCACTTTGAGCATATTGAGCCTGTCGTGATTTAGGATCAGAATCATCATTATTTAGAAGGCAACCAACTGAACCAGACTTAGGCAACAAAAAGATGAGAGGACAATGGGCACAACAGATGTAAAGCCAGCGAGCTAAAAACAAGGCATCGGTGTAGTGTCTGAAATGTTTTTGTACCTATCACCAAAAAAAAGAACAACAGCTAAACCCCAAAATTTTTAGTGATTTTTTTTTTTTTTTTTTTTTTTTTTTCATGATTGTATGTACCCCGTAAAAGTGGTTCACCCTGTTCTTGGGAATCCATCCCCACACATTCAGAACCAAAACAAGAGCAGTCTTTCTTTTGTAAGCTGACCTTGACAAGCAACAGAAAATCGAGCAAACAGAAACGAAAGTATCTTTCTTCCTCGGGCATAATGAAGAGAAATTTGGTTGCTCTTTTATTGACGCGCGATGGGTGGGGAACGAAGGAAGTGAGAGATGAAACCAAATCTCTTCTTCTTTTCTGCCGGGTCATCCAATGTTGAATTTTTGGAAATGTCGTCAACGGCCGACAAGAGCCCACTTGTCTGCGTCGCGGCTTTTATATGGACATTTACGGGCTTTGTAAACAAGAGCGGTCTTTGTGGTGGATGTTGCATGGCGGAGATGTCGCTGGTTGTCACCGCCTTTGTGTGGCCGGGACACTACACAGCTGCAGGAAAGCCATTAACTGTGCGCCTTCATGTCAATGACATACCTGTAGCTGTGTACTTTGGAGGACTCTTGGAAATTCTGCTGCCTGCGAACACTCTCCTAACTGGTACTGCTCAGTTAACTGAAACGTGAACACTGTCTTGGTGGATAAGGCTTGTTTTTGGATTTTCCAAGAGCTGGGTATCTTAAAAGGTGTACGTTTTTAAATGTGCCGGTGAATGACTTGTTGTCATTGAACGGGCTCTGTAGGCACGTTAATAAAATGGAGATTAAAAGAAATAAACAATTGTATTTTTTCGAACTAAAATCAAAATAGAGTAGGTTACAGTGGGCTATAGTTGGTAAAGTACTGATTTCTTAGAAAATGAGTACCGGTAGCTGCTTCTGTGCTTGTAACATCAGAGTAGAAAGGAACTGCTGTTAGTCATGCTCGTTAGCCAGTGGCAAATCGTTGGTTTTTATATCACCAATTGTAGACACGCTAACTCTCGTAGCTGGTTGCACATTTTCATTTCAGGACAGCATTATCCTACTCGATCAAAATGTAGTTGGATACATTATTTTTCAGAAAAAGAGTCACTCCTTGTCTGCTCTTTGTGAGGTAATGTCAGAGCAGAAATGAACGGATGTGTAGCCATGCTAGTTAGCTAGCGGTGAGTCTATGGTATTTGTACTGCCAATTGTAGACACGCTAATTCTCGTAGGTGTTCGCAAACTTTCATTTCACGACAGTGTTCTCCCACTAAATCAAAATATAGTCGGCTGCAACAGTAAAAGTACTTATTTCTCTGAAAATGAGTCGTTACTTCTCTGTGTTAAGTAACGTCAGAGCCGACACGACATGACATCCGCCATGCTAGTTAGCTAGTAGCGCGTCTATAATTTTCACGTCACCAATTATAGACACACAAACTCTCATAGACGTTTGCAAAACATTAATTTCAAAACAGTGTCCTCATAATATATTAACGTGACCTATAGTTTGTCGAAAACTGACTGTCGGTGTGTTGTAAATGTGATATCGCAATTGCTATGAATCCAAATTAGCATTGATTGGCCTCGGGGGAGTTTCTAGCCATTGATACGACCTTGGACCATCCGTTCAACTTGGACGCTTTTACTGTTTCAAGACTGTCAATCCGCCTGCTGCGTCCAGGCGTTTGTGAATGGTGACTTAATATTTAAGAGCAATTACAATCCATCCAGCGGTGGCACGGCGGTCGACTGGTTAGCACGTCGACCTCGCAGTGCAGAGTTGCAGGATTCGATTCCAGCTGAGGCATTCCCATGTGGAGTTTGCATGTTCTCCCCGTGCCTGCGTGGCTTTTCCCCGGGTACTCCGGTTTCCTCCCACGTTCCAAAAAACATGCACGGCGGGTTGATTGGGCACTCCAAAATTCCCTAGGTGTGATTGTGAGCGTGAATGATTGTGCATGCATGCCCCACAATTGGCCGGCAACCAGTTCAGGGTGTCCCCCGCCTCCTGCCCGAAGACGGCTGGGAATAGCCTCAACCATCGACTTGATGAACCTCTTTTTCACCATCGTCTCCTCTTAGCCAGCGACAGGCATTTTATGATTAAGCCGGACAAGGAGCTCAGTTTGATTCCTCCTCAATCAAAGGTTCATCCCAGCCCAATAACACGGACAAATGGTGCCATTTAATTTCTCCAGAGCTGACATTTATGAGCAGAGCCCTTGATAGATGGCCGCTGCCTGCAGCAGCTTTATTTTCCTTCAAATGTTGAGCGGCCGACATCCCAGAGGAGCCAAGCGGACACACCTGAGCCTACCAAGTGAAGACCACCCCATCGCTGTAGACGATTCACGTGAGGAGCACCGTGATATCCTTCTGAGATGACTGGCAGCATAATTGCCGTTTGGATCCCGTTGTGCGTCCTTTTTTTGCTGCGAGTGGACATTTGAATGAGCTCTCATCTCCGCAGCTCAGCAGCTTTCAAAGTCAGCCCCCCGCAATCCCCCCCCCCCCTGTTTAGAACCAGAGCACGCAGATTTTCAAGGAGCGCCTAAAAAGAAACCACACACGTGGAATGGGGATAAAAGTTCACCGTTCACATCGTCAAGATTTTAATGCATCCAATATTGATGGGGTCAAAGCAGTGGAGGTCTCATAATAACACACCAGGACCTTCTTTTTATTACTAGCCAACTGTCTGAGATATTTTTGTTGATATTTTTCATATTGGGCAGGTTCCTTGTAAATGTGCCGGAGATCAATTTTAATATATTTACTCCAGGCGCAACAGTTTCCCCCTGTGAACAAGACCAGGGCATCGGCGCTCAGAAATAAAGATTAAAAAGTGGAAATGTGCTGACTGCTTGCATAATAACACCACTTGGACACGCTGGAGCATGCAGAAGCGCGGCCGTTTAATTAGCTTTTGGTGTTTGCGCGACAGCGGACGAGCCGTACGCTCTCCGGCTGTAAACTGGTCACCTCGCACGACAAATAAAATCCCAAATCTGAAATGTATTTTAATAAATGCCATCCATCTGTAACCATCCCCTGAAAATCCACCACTATTTTTTTTTGTTTGTTTTTTTAACAAGCAAAAATTGCAGTGTTGTGGAAAATATGAATGTCGAACGATAATAAGAGACTTGAAAGAGAATTTCAAGGAATAAACTTTTTTTTTTTAAGCGCCAGTATACTGTAGCACAAAAGTCACACACACACTCTCTATCTAGTACATTGGTGTTGGCTTCAGACAGGAATGGGCAATTTCGATGCTGGAGGGGGGGAGGTCACAATTTTTCATCAGTGAGGGCCAAGTAGGACCATGCAGTTTTCGAACCGGATTTGTGACCAAAATACTCTTTTAAAAATGGACAAAAAAATATCGTTCATTTTTGAGAATACATTTTTCAAAGCATGTATCAAAGATCCACTATCCAAACACAACAACAAAGGGCTTAAAGCAAAAATAACCGCATACTGTAATTTTTACCTCCAGTGCAAAGGGCTCTTGCATATAAATGACCATTCAAAGATGGCACAAAACTATTGAACAAGAACCCAACATTATGTGCAAGTACAAAAATCAACTGGCTCGAAATTTAAATATTATTGAGGTACTGTGTTTGTCCTGAATGTCAGTCCAAATCTGCCCCAAAAATATTCGGCCTACTCTCGAGAATAGGGCAGTGTAAGACCCGGTATCAGTGAAAAAAAAAAAAAAAAGACATGTCTACCACCCAGTGGTGATTGGCGATATTACAACTAAAAACTACATTCGACCCCTGCATATTCCCAGTTCGTAACCTGTGGATTTACATATTCACATATCCCCCCCATCGCCACCCCCTTTCCCTGCGTAGATCTACATTCCAACACGATACTGAAATCCGATCGGACAAATAAATAAATAAACGTATTTGCAGCGGAGCTGCTGTGATCTATAAAGCTTGTCGTTACTTGTATAACCACAAGCGTGTGTGTGTGTGTGTGTGTGTGTGTGTGTGTGTGTGTGTGTGTGCGTGCGCGTGCGCGCGCGCGCCTGTCCCGGACTTCATACGAAAGGCATTTGTTCACGCTTCACATGCAGAACAGACAATTCATTTGGCCTCGGTTGTTCTGTGGCGGGAAAATTGTTTGCACATGTGAGCAGATGTTTTCTCGTCATTTATCTGGTCGCCCCTTGTCCGAGGCACTCCAGAAGCCTCGGCGCTGTAAATCATCCTCCGTCCTTGCTTTGCGTTCCTCCATGTCCTCCTTCCATGTGAATTCCAGCAGCTCCTGCGGCTCGTCATCCGGCGCGGTCATCCCGGAGCTGTCCCGGCAACGCCGAGCGCTTGCTAATCGCCCCTGGCTGCCTGACAT